AAGCACCTCGTTTCCAACCGCTCCTCTTTTTGCTTCTGATCGTGTTCATTTCTGAAACTCTGAGGCTCCCTAAATAGATGTCCAATCATCAAATGCCCACGTCAACCGTAGGACACCCCACTACCCCCAGCCATGCCCTCTGTTCCCGCCTCACCCGGCCACCCCAGGCTTCAGTCAGCCTTGCAGTCTCGCTTCACCAGCCAAGCCTCGGTCCCACCCCCCCCCCCGACCTGGCCACTCCTTCTTTCTTCAGATTTCCTGCACCCTGCCGGTCAGTTTTAACTCTTGGGGAAGCGCCATCACCTGGCCCCACCCCATTTCCTGGATTTATACCCAGTCACCTGGCCGCCCCCAGGCCCTTTCTACTCACCTGGTCGCCTCTAAGCTCCGCCCTTCCTCCTGGCCCCGCTGCTCTTGGGAGGCTCACCCTGGGCTCTCCAGCGCTTGCCTCTGTTCCGCTCGCCCAGGCCGCTGAGCTGACCCCGCCCTCACCTGCTCACCCGCAGCCTCTTCCTCACCTGGTCGTCTCCAGGCCCCTCCAGGGTCGAGCGCTGGCTACGCTGGCGCCGCAGGGACACGCTGTACACGGCGCCGTCCTCGGTCTCTTCGCCCCAGTCTTGCAGCGGCGCCTGCATGTGGAGGCGGGCTCAGGGCAGTGCCCCCGCCTCGGTCCCCGGCCTTTACGCTTGGCCCACTTTCCCGAGTAGAGTACCCGAGACTTGGGTGGGATCCCAGGTGGGTCCCTCTGTGCCACCGACACCCTCCTCCCAGGTCTTGAGTGGATGGAGTATCATTTGGGACACTCAATAGTCCAGTGCCACAAAGACTCTCTCTGTCGCTTCCTCCCGAGATGCGCTCAGACTCCCGTCCCACCCCACACACCAGCCCAGCCGCTTCTCGGGGTCAGGAACTCTGAGTCCCCCAAGTGGGAACTCCGGGACTCATCCGTTTTGCAGAAAGGTTAGAAAGCGAAGGGTGGACATCGGAGTTTCTGAATCTAAGGGTACACCAGGGACGTGGGGTCTGAGGATTCCCCAGTTCCCTCTTACCAGGGCGAGCTCTTTGCCCGCCGTCCTCTCCATGGCCCCGATGCCCGTCCTGCTCCCTGGCGCCGCTGAGAGAAG